AATCCCTGTATATGTCAGTCCTGGCCCTCATAAAAAAATGAATTCGACACCCCTCGAGCAGACAGTACTGACTTTGATGGGCCAATGATCTGATTAAGTATAAGGCAGCTTCATAAGAACATAAGAGAAGTCAATGTTAGATCAAGCCAATGGTTCCTCTAGTCCAACACTGTGTCACACAGTGGCCAAAAATACCAGGTGCCATTAGGAGGTCCATCAGTGGGGCCAGGATACTAGAAGCCCTCCCACTGTTGCCCCCCCCAACACCAAAAATACAGACCATCACTTGCCACAAACTGAGAGTTCCTATCTATACCTTGTGGCTAATAGCCACTGATGGACCTCTGCTCCATATGTTTATCTAATTCCCTCTTGAAGCTGTCCATGCTTGTAGCCACCGCCACCTCCTGTGGCAGTGAATTTCACATATTAATCACTCTTTGGATGAAGAAGTACTTCCTTTTATCTGTTCTAACCCAACTGCTCAACAATTTCATTGAGTGCCCACGAGTTCTTGTATTATGAGAAAGGGGGGAAAGTACCTCTTTCTCTACCTGCTCTATCCCATGCATAATCTTATAAACCTCGATTATGTCACCCCTCAGCCATCGTTTTTCCAAGCTAAAGAGCCCCAAGAGCTTTAACCTTTCTTCATAGGGAAAGTGTTCCAACCTTTTTATCATTCTAGTTGCCCTTTTCTGCACTTTTTGCAATGCTATAATATCCCTTTTGAGGTGTGGTGACCAGAACTGTACACAGTACTACAAATGAGGTCGCACCATCAATATATACAGGGGCATTATGATACTGGCTGTCCAGTATTCATGTTTGTGTACTTTAAGACAACATTTAGTATGTTCATGTGTGTGTACTTTAAGACAACGTTTGGTAGCCCTCCCGTTCTGCCTGCGAATAGGAAACAGGCAGTCCTTGTCATTCCTTTTTCTGGTGTTGAGGTCTCCGTGACTGAATGAAGGTAGTTAAAGATTTTACTAAAGGGTTCAAAGATTTCACCATAGGAGTTAATGATATCATCAGAGATTCAAGAGCAGAAAACATATCACCGACTCGGCCAAACACTGCACCTATTCCACAGAAGATGATCCAAATCCATCTCCCAGTTCTCACCCACCACCTTGCCACGTTGATGCTATACATGGGTTTATTTCTGCTACTGTCATACAGAATGGTGGCCACATTCTCCCCTTCACCAGAGACAAAGGTCAGAATAATGTCACCGTAAATGATTTTCATAGTGGTGTTTGATTGGAGGCCCTGGAGCTCTTTGATTAATTGGATCCTGGCTAGGGAAAAGCAAGCTTCAGTTTCTTCATTTTGAGCTCCCAGAAGCTTCAGTTCATTCTGCACTCTTTGAAGGTTCTCCGGGCTGAGAGGCTCTTCAGTCATCCCTTCCCGCCATCTGAGGTAAACATCCTGTATTGGCACTAGCTCCTTCAGTCTGGAATGGCCTTTAGA